CGGCCGCGCGGGCGGGGCCGCCACGCCGCTGTCGCCCACGCGCCTGTCGCGGCTGCAGGAGAAGGAAGAGCTGCGGGAGCTCAACGACCGCCTGGCCGTCTACATCGACCGCGTCCGCGCCCTCGAGCTGGAGAACGACCGGCTGCTGCTCAAGATCTCGGAGAAGGAGGAGGTGACCACGCGCGAGGTACGCGGGGGGGGGCAGAGGGGGCGGGGCCGCCCGGGACCCCCGGGAGGGAGGAGCGGCAAGGCCCCGCCCCCCGGCACCCCCCCCCCCGCCGATTTCCGGAGAGACCCGAACTCAGGCTCCGGAGATCGCGGAAACCCCTGGGCAGAGGGTTCAGAAAGGTCTTGTCCCCTAACGGGGCCGGGGCGGGGGGGGGTGTACAAGGGTGTTTTTTGGGGGGAGGAGGGTCCCTGAAAGGAGTGTCCTCAGGGACCTCCTCCCTGAGATTCCAGGGAACGTCGGGGTGATGCTTCCACAGGGGTCCCGAGGGACAGGTGCCAGCCAGGTACTCCTCACCCAGCCCCGGGGGAGGGCCGAGGCATGTCTTGGGGGGTGGGGAGTATGGACGACCGAGAAGGAAAGGGGGGGCTTCCTGGGGAGTTCCCCCCAGGGAATGATCTGGATTATCCGAGGAAAAGGTGCAGGGAATTTGGGGTCACTCTGCCTTGGGAACTACAGTGTGGGGTGGTGTGTTTTATCCCTGCTAGGAGGTTTGGGGGACCTCCCCCCCTATAAGGGGGTGTGAGCCTGAGTGGACTACCCCACCCCTAACGGGTTAGGCATGTGGTTGGCAACTTGGTGAGGGGTGTTAAAGTCTTTGGGGAGGGGCTCTGGGGTATCACGTGATCTTGGTTCTCAAGGCTTTTTGGGCTCTGAGTGTCTGAAGAGGGGTTCTGATGCCTTGGGTCTCCTGGAGATCTGGGGGCCTCAGTTGGGCCTGGGACTTGTTGGTCTATCCCACTCCACCCCAAGAAAAATGTGAAGTAGGGGATGGGTGAAGATCTTGGATCCAGTGGCACCATTGGGGTTCAGGGATACTGGAAGACTTAATTAGGGATAAGGAAGCCCTGCACCCCATCATAGGTGTAGGAGTGTGTGTGTGTGTTGCTCAGGGGTCCTTGGGACAGATCCCTGGCTGTGGTCCTGACCCAGGAGTGGCTCTTTGCTTTCTCACAGAACCCTGCCCAGTCCAATGGCGGGTCTCCAGAGGAAGGGGGTCCCCCTACTTACACGGATAAGTCCAGGAAGGACCCCAGGGCTGGAGTGAGTGAGCCGCCTGCAGGAGACTGAGTACCTGCTGCTACCACACACAGAGGGGTTTTTGGGGCAGGACGAGGATACCACGAGTGTGTTTTCATGTCACTACTTTTTGTGCCAGTCCTGGGCTTGAACTCAGGGCCTGGGTGCTGTCCCTGAGCTTTTTTGCTCAAGGCTAGTCCTCTACCACTTTATGGCTCCATTGGAGACTAGAGTCCCATGGACTTTTCCTGCTAGGGCTGGCTTTGAACTGAGATCCTCAGATCTCAGCCTACTAAGTAGCTACGATCACAGGTGTGAGCTGTGGGTGCCTGGTTGGCCATGTGGATTTTGAGCCTCTGTTTTGCTCTCTGCCTCATGTTGGAAGTTGTCCCCATGCTGCCTGCCTGGGGGCTTTACCTGGGGGCACCTCAGTCACCAGGCTGGTTGCTGTCTGTCAGACAGACTGAGTAGCTTCAGATTGGGGTCTTAACTGGCCTCCTGTCCTGTGGGGGTGCTTTTGGGGTGTTGGACTGGCTTAGTGTGCAAGAAGCCCTGCTCTCCTGGCCTGTTCACCTGTTTGTGCTTTGGCGGTGTCTGGAGTGGCTTATTAAGACCCTCAGGCCGGGTGCCGCTGGCTCACGCCTGTCATCCTAGTACTCAGGTGTCTGAGATCTGAAAATCACAGTTCAATTCCAGCCCAGACTTCCTGTGAGACTTATCTACAAAAAACCACCAGAAAACCAGAAGTCTGAGATCTGAAAATCACGGTTCAAATCCAGCCCAGACTTCCATGAGACTTATCTACAAAAAACCACCAGAAAACCAGAAGTGCCGCTGTGGCTCAAGGGGCAGAGCGCTTCCCCCAGTGTCTTCTGTTTCCTGCAGCCCTGTCCACTCGTCATTGGGGGAAGAGGATCCAAGACCCAGAGGGAAGGGGCTGTTTTGTCACCTGTCAGTGCCCCTCCTCTCCCTTCCCATGGTGGTCAGTAGGAGGCCTCAGCCTCTTCCCCATTTATGACATGGCGTGACAAGAGGTGAGGGGCCTGAACTTGCCCTGCCCACAGGGGCAGTGACCCAAGATCCTGCACTCGGCCAACAGGGAGACTCGGCTGGTCTTTAGGGCCCTGTTGCTCCAGGTGAGCCCCACATTTCAGCCTGAACCCCATATTCTACATGCAGGACACCCCTGAGTCCCAGAAGCCTGTGTGGTGTTGCCCTAAGTGCCAGGTCCTTGGCAGCCTCTTCTCTGGCCCGTGGGCACGGGGTAGTGGCCGCCCGTGGACAGGACGGACCTTGAGCTCGCACTCAGTGGACCTGCAGTTCAGTGCTGTAGTGTGGTCCAGGCTGGCCAGTTCTGGAATGTTCCATCACCCATTCTCAGCCTCAGGAGGGCAGTCCACTCCCCTGTCTCTGGATCCCTCTGTCTGGCTGTCCCATCAGTGGAGGATCCCCCACATTGTGGGGTGTCTAGCTCATCCTGTCCCTGGCCTGCGGCATCGCAGTGTTGGTGGAGCACATGGAGTGACCACCCCCCTCCGTAGACACTTTTTCTAGATGGTTCTCTGTTGTCAGGGGTGTGCATGCTGGGCAGGTGGACTCTTGGTGCTCTTCAGAGGTGCCCTGGGCTGCAAGCCCTGTGGCTGTGCCAGGGTGAGCGCCCAGCCCCCCCACACACACTGTGGCAGCGGGGGAGAGGAGCGGGGGCTCCGCCGGGGTTTGCTGCACTTGTGTCTAAACGCATTAGCACGTAGCCCTGGGTGTGAGGAGATGAGGGATGGGTGCCAGGGACAGTGGGAAATCCGAGTCCTCCCAGCTGCTGTGTGTGGCCAAGGCAGGGACAAGTGGCACGCCGGGAGCCCGGCAGGTGGCAGCTGTGGTCCCGACAGCAGGGACCACGTGGAGTGGACGCCTGGCTCTAACGCCAGCTGGCGATGAACTTGGCTCGGGAAGAGGCTTTCCCCATCCAGGGGAACCGGTCCTTGTCCCTCCCCTCCCTGCCTGTCTTCCTCCCCTCCCCCTGGCCTATCTCCCCTCCCTCCCTAGCCTTGCTGCTGGGACCCTGTTGGGCGTGGGGGCTCCTGATCCACGGCTGCCACGTGCCAGTGGGCGGAGCTTGGCCCAAAGGGGTCAGGAGACCTCTCAAACCACCTGAGAGAGGGAAGCAGAGACTGGTGCGGGCGTTGGTCTCGGGATGGCAGCGTGGGGGTCCTGTACACGCTGAGTCAGCATCATAAGCCCCCCCCCCCCACACACACACTTTGAGAGATTGGAAGTGGTTCTGAACTGGGCTGGGCAGTGGGACCCCAGGCCCCATCTGGGGACACAGGTTCCTGTCGCCACTGGGGAGCTCCCGGTGAGCGGCTGTCACTGGGCTGGGGTCTCTGGGGCCTTCATGCGGGGCTGCCTCCTCAGGTGAGCGGCATCAAGGCGCTGTACGAGTCGGAGTTGGCCGATGCCCGGCGGGTGCTGGACGAGACGGCCCGCGAGCGCGCCCGCCTGCAGATCGAGATCGGCAAAGCGAGAGCCGAGCTGGAGGAGGCCGACAAGAGGTAGGTGGCCACGGGGAGGCCCAGCCTGGGCAGCCTCCGGTGGGACAGAAGCCGCAGGTGCCTGTAGGGCGCTCTGGGAGAAGTGGGGTGCGTAGGCACGCTTATTGGGACAGCAGTGGGACCCACAGTGGTGAGACCCTGTGGGCGTGGCCTTGTTCTGTAATGGGATTAAGCTCTGGGTTGGCTTTGACGTGGGTATTGTGTAGTCTCTTCCCACTACTCTCTGTGATGACCCCTTGGGGTGGGCCCCTTGCAGGGAGACGCCCCTTTCAGTGGGCAGGTCAAAAGGCCTTTCTAGGCCAAGTGCCCTGGCCACCTGGTGTTGGACAGGTAGCTAGTCCCGCTCACATTGGCATTCAGCCTGGGCTAGGTCCTCATTTCCAGCAGTGTCCAGAGCCCCACGCATGTTCGAGGGGAGGCCCACTCCACAGGCCTTCCCTGTGCTGGGAGATGTCGCCCTCCAGGCCGCCCAGGTCCGTGCGCCACCCACCCAGAGCTCCAGGCTCTCCGACAATTTGAGCATTCACACTGCGGGGTCCAGGTGCCAGGAATTGGGGAATCAGACCTCAGGCTCCCCTGTGGCGCTGGCCGCCCAGCCCAGCCCAGGCTGTCACCTCCCCCACAATTCCTGGGTAGGTGCGTGGCTGTGGCTCAGGGTGTTCACGGGACTAGCGAAGGAGAGCATGGGGATGGGCCACACGTACCAGGAGTGTCCACGTCACTGGATCTCCCACAGCTGTTTGTACTCTTGGCCGTGTGGGGCGTGGAACCCAGGTCCTGCACAGGGCATCTAGGTGCTCCCTGAGCTGCCCCCAGCCCTGGTTCTTACCTTAAACAGCTGAGAGCAGCAAACCTTGCCAGATGTCCCTTCCCCCCTACTCCCCCCCATTTTTTGTCAGTCATCGGACTTGAACTCTGGGCCTTCAGAGCTGGTCCTTCAAGCTCAAGGTGAGTGCTCTACTTGAGTCACAGCACCACTTCCAGTTTTCTGGTGGTTTATTGGAAATCAGAGTCTCATGGACTTTTCTGCCCAGGCTGGCTTTGAACCGTGATTATCAGATCTCAGCCTCTTGAGTAGCTAGGATTATAGGCATGAGCCACCAGCGCCCAGCTGTCCTTTTCTTGTTTGGTTTACGGCTTGAACTAAGGCGTAGGTGCTGTCCCTCAGCTCTTCAGCTTAAGGCTAGCACTCTACCACTTGAGCCACCGCACCACTTCTGGCTTTTTCTATTTATGTGGTACTGAGGAATGGAACCCAAGGTTTCATGCATGCTAGGCAAGCACTCTACCACTAAGCCACATTCCCAGCCCAGGTGTCCCTTTATATAGCATAACATCCTTCAGGACCCTCTTCCAGCTGATGGCTTCAGGAAATCTCTGCTGGCACTCCATGGTGGGTCTGCTTTATGTGTCTGCTTAAAGATGGGTGCTTGAGCCTCAGCCACACTCGCCACATGGTGCCCTGCCATTTAAAGTTAGAATCCAGCCTCTCCTTCCTTTGCCAGTCCCACTCTGGCCCCCGAGGTCTCCTCAGTGCTGGGCACACCTCACCCCAGGACCTTTGCATCACTGGGCATGCTCTGCATGCTCGGCCCAGGCTGGTCTGCAGGTCTGCAGCACCACCTCCCAGCTGGCACCTCCGGCCCACCTTCCCTTCCTGCTGCCCAAGGCCCTGGTCTGTCCGTGTATGCTCAGGAACTGTGTTGTGAGGGCACAGGTCATGTCCCAGGGCCTTGCCTGTGTGGTTGGATGGCTCCGGTGTCCCCCAAAAGTCCACCCCAGGGACTTGAGGTGTGCAGCCCTGTAGCTATGTACAGTCTGAGCTCTGGGTATGGAGCCTGCACCACGCTCACCGTGGAGCCTGTCAGGACTGTGGTGCTTGCGGTGTGGAGCGTGGAGGCCAGCAGTACCCTGTGCACAGGCCCAGGGGCAGACCAGGGCACAAGATTATAATCCAAGAGCCAAAACCCCACGTTCTCAGTGTTCATGTTGAGGACTGTGCTTGGGGGCCAGGCATTGGTGGCTCACACCTATAATCCTAGATACTCAGGAGGCTGAAATCTGAGGATCGCAGCTCAAAGCCAGCCTGGGCAGGAAAGTCCATAAGACTTCTCTCCAATGAACCACTAGAAAACCAGAAGTGGCGCTGTGGCTCAAGTGGTAGAGCATTTGCCTTGAGCTGAAGAGCTGAAGGACAGCGCCTAGGCCCAGAGTTCAAGCTCCATGACTGACCAAGAAAGAAAGAAAAGACTGTGCTTGGGTTGTCTGACTTATAGAATTGTTGGGTGAGCCTGCTCAGTTACAAACAAGGCGCTCTTTCCAAAGACAGTTTCTCTCTGTAACTTTAATCAATGATGTGTAGTTCCCTGTCCCAGCCCTCACGGGGAGGGGCTGGCAGAGCCCCTGCTCCAGGTTGCTATGTGCAACTGTTGTCCTGGGGTACATCATGGAACAGGCCCTAGTGATCTGAAGAGCTCCGAGGTGACCCTCTGGACACTGCCCAAACACTTCTTGATGACCAGGTAACTGCACATTCCTCCTGTCTTAACTTCGCTGCTTGACTTCCAGCGCCAAGAAGAGGGAAGGAGAGCTCACGGTGGCCCAGGGCCGCGTGAAGGACCTGGAGTCTCAGTTCCACCGCAGCGAGGCCGAGCTGGCCGCTGCCCTCAGTGACAAGCGCAGCCTGGAGAGCGATGTGGCGGAGCTGCGGGCGCAGCTGGCCAAGGTGGGCCTGGTGGAGCCAGGCGGCCTCCAGGGGAGGGCCCTGGGGACCTGAGGGCTGGCCCGGCGGAGTGCGCGCGCTCAGATCATCCCCTCAGCTCTGTGTGTCTCTCTCAGGCCGAGGATGGTCACGCAGTGGCCAAAAAGCAGCTGGAGAAAGAGACGCTGATGCGCGTGGACCTGGAGAACCGCTGCCAGAGCCTGCAGGAGGAGCTGGACTTCCGCAAGAGCGTGTTCGAGGAGGTGAGGGGTGCTTGCACTGGGGGCTTCCTCCTGTGGCCTCCCCCCCCCCTCCTGCCGCTTCTGGGTGTCCAGGCAGAGACCCTTGTCATGGGCCGGCCACCTGAGTAGCCCAGGACATCTCTTGAAACCTGTGAAGATCTGTGTGCATACAGCCAGTCAGGCTTGGGGTCAGCGTGTGGACTGGCCTTTGACAGGGACAGTGTTCAGCCTACCAGGTGTCCCCTTAGACACCTGCACAGCCCCCCAGCCCTGCCCCCGCCTCTCCAGCTCCCTCCCATGGCCGTGCCATGTGGCTGGCCACACGCATCACACAGCCTGGCTATGCTGTCATAGGCCAGGCCAGAACCCTGCTCAGCGCCGTGGACGTGGCCTGGCACGCTGCGGGGGGAGGATGCCTGTGCAGCTGAGGAGCAGTGTCCAGGGCTCACCAGGCCCGGCCACGGCGCCAGCCACCATGAGGGGTCGCATGCCTAGGAAGGGGCAGGTGGAGAAGCCCCTGAAGATCTCTGTGAGGAGGGGAGTCCTGAGAAGGGCTTTGGGGGCCCCTCGGAAGCGGGGCCCCATGAGGAGCCCTCAGAGAAAGTTGGTACAGGCTGTGCTGCACAGAGCTGCCCATCTTAGCTCTCTGAAGGTAACTGCGCTCAGCCTGGCCAGCCTCAGCCTCCATTGGAGCTGACGATGTCTGCCCACCCCTGGGGACAAGGCAGGGAGGGAGAGACGGATGGACGGATGGATGCATGGATGCCTGCATGGATGTATGTAGATAGAAGGTAGACAGTAGACAGACACTTCTGTGCTCCGTGATCGGGTGGCAAGGGACAGATCTTCCCGCCAGTGGAGCAGTGCTGTGTCCACGCTGCACCCCACCTCCTGTCCCTGGCCACCCTGGTGGCCTGGGCCTCTATCACCTCTGTTGGACCACCACCTTGAGCACTGGGGGTGAACTCTCAGTACCTGTGTGTAGGGGGAGCTACTGGAGCAGGACTAGAGTCTCAATAGGTGTGAACTACACACTCAGCCTGACAATACATCTTTTTGTTTTGTGCTTTTTTGTGTGTGCCAGTGCTAGGCTTGAACTCCTGGCTTTATGCCCTGGCTTTGCTTTTTCACTCAAGGCTGGAGCTCTACCACTTGAGCCACAGCTCCACTTCAGTTTTTTTTGTTGGCTAATTGGATATAAGAGTCTCACAGGTCAGCTTCTGGTGGCTCACATCTGTAATCCTAGCTACTCCAGTGGCTGAGATCTGAGGATCACGGTTCAAATCCAGCCTGGACTTCTGTGAGACTCTTTTTTTTCCTTTGGTCGGTTGTAGGGCTTAAACTCTGGGCCTGGGCATTATCCCTGCGCTCTTCAGCTCAAGGTGAGTGCTCTACCACTTGAGCCACAGCGCCACTTCTGGTTTTCTAGTGGTTTATTGGAGATAAGAGTCTCACAGACTTTCCTGCCTAGGCTGGCTTTGAACCTCCTGAGTAGCTAGGATTACAGGCGTGAGCCACTGGCACCCAGCTCTGTGAGACTTTTTTTTTTTTTGGTCCGGTCGTGGGGCCTGAACTCTGGGCCTGGGCGCTGTCCCTCAGCTCTTCAGCTCAAGGCTAGCACTCTACCACTTGAGCCACAGTACCACTTCCGGCTTCTTTTTGCTTGTGTGGTGCTGAGGAATCGAACCCAGGGCCTCAGGAATGCAAGGCAAGCGCTCTACCACTGAGCCACCTTCCCAGCCCTCTGTGAGACTCTTATCTCCAATAAACCACCAGAAAACTGGAAGTGGTGCTGTGGCTCAAGTGGTAGAGCGCTAGCCTTGAGCTGAAGAGCTGAGGGACGGGCTGGGAAGGTGGCTCAGTGGTAGAGCACTTGCCTCGTATGCATGAGGTCCTGGGTTCAATTCCTCAGCACCACATAAGCAGAAAAGAAAGCTGGAAGTGGTGCTGTGGCTCAAGTGGTTGGGTGGTTGCCTTGAGGAAGATCTGAGCGACAGTGCCCAGGCTCAGAGTTCAGGCCTCATAACTGACCCCCCCAAAAGACAAGAGCTGAGGGACAGCGCCCAGGCCCTGAGTTCAAGCCCCACAACTGACAAAAAAAGAAAAGTCAGAGATTTCTCTGCGTGGGCTAGCTTCAAACCTCAATCCTCACATCCAGTCTCCTGAGTAGCCAGGATTACAGGCGCAAGCTCGCACCTCAGGGTGCTAGCTACAGCTTGTAGGGTCTGCACAGCTTGTGCATGGTTTCTGTTTGTACCAGAACATTGTGTCTGCTTCCAGCTCTGGGCCCCCACCAGGGCAGAGACCTGGGGACTTGCAAGCCCGGGGGCCTGGAGTCTGCCGTCCTCACTGAGCTGGCGCCCGGCTCTCTGTACGGCCATGTGGTGCTGTGCAGTGCCCCGGGGTGGGTGACCAGAGGTGGGGCCCCCTGGGAGATCGAGGCTGGGGCTCACTGGTGTGCGGCGGCCACCCTACCCTGCCAGGAGGTGCGAGAGACGCGGCGGCGGCATGAGCGGCGCCTGGTGGAGGTGGACAGCGGGCGGCAGCAGGAGTTCGACTCCAAGCTGGCCCGGGCGCTCGAGGAGCTGCGCGGCCAGCACGACCAGCAAGTGCAGCTTTACCGCCAGGAGCTGGAGCAGACCTACCAGGCCAAGGTGCGGCCATGGGGACCCCACACTCCCTGTGCCCCCCATCCCTCACCTCCTGCTGCCCCCTCGCCCCCATGCCCCTCATCCCTCACCTCCTACTCCCCCCTTTCTCCCCCCGCAGCTGGACAACGCCAAGCTGAGCTCGGACCAGAACGACAAGGCGGCCAGCGCCGCACGGGAGGAGCTCCAGGAGGCGCGCATGCGCGTGGAGTCCCTCAGCTACCAGCTCTCGAGCCTGCAGAAGCAGGTGAGGCCCTGCGCTGCCCACGCATGCGCGGCCCCGAGCGCCCCGGGGTCCGGGTCCCCCCTGCTGACCGGGCTGCTGTCTGCAGGCCAGCGCAGCCGAGGACCGCATCCGGGAGCTGGAGAGCTCCCTGGCCAGCGAGCGCGATAAGTTCCGCAAGATGCTGGATGCCAAGGAGCAGGAGATGACGGAGATGCGGGACGTGATGCAGCAGCAGCTAGCCGAGTACCAGGAGCTGCTGGATGTGAAGCTGGCCCTGGACATGGAGATTGCCGCCTACCGCAAGCTGCTGGAGGGCGAGGAGGAGAGGTGAGGGGCGGGGGGGGGGGGGCACAAGAAGCCAGGTGCCGGGGGAGGGTGGTCAGGAGGGCTGGCTAGGCTTAGCGGGGGTGGGAGAGGATGGGAACGGGGGGTGCATGAGGGAGCGAAGCAACGGAGCCGGGTCAGCTGTAGTCACCCCTGCCTCCCCACTGAGCCAGGCTGAAGCTGTCCCCCAGCCCGTCCTCCCGGGTCACCATCTCACGGGCCACGTCGAGCAGCAGCAGCAGCAGCGCGTCCGTGGTGGGCCGGTCGGGCCGCAGCAAGCGCCGGCGGCTGGAGGTGGAGGAGTCCCCAGGCAGCGCCTCCAGCGGCATCGGCTCAGGCAGCAGCAGCAGCAGCGGCAGCTTCCGCTTGGCCCAGCAGGCCTCTGCCGTGGGCAGCGTGAGCATTGAGGAGGTGGACCTGGAGGGCAGGTTCGTGCAGCTCAAGAACAACTCGGACAAGGTGAGTGGGCCAGGCCGTGGTGGTACTCAGGTGTCACCGTGCAGCTGGCTGTGGGTCTCACACGTGTCTGCGTCCCCAGGACCAGTCCCTAGGGAACTGGAGGATCAAGAGGCAGGTCCTTGAGGGCGATGAGATTGCCTACAAATTCACACCCAAGTACGTCCTGCGGGCTGGCCAGACCGTCACGGTAAGTAACAGCAGTGGGGGGGCAGGATGCCCGCCCGAGGTCAGCCCTGTGTCCGGGCCTCCCAGGAGCCTGGTGAAGGTGCCAGTCCCCCATCCCCTGGCCATCGGAGTAGCAGGGCTTAAGGAGTGTCCCAGTTAGGGGCCTGGAATCCCAGGGACTTCCCGTGTGGCCCAGCCCCCGATTACAGAGTCTTTCTGCAGAGGGCTCTGCACCTCAGACCCTGCGTGGTCTTCTGGAAGGGCTGCATTCTTAATTCTAACCCCAGGACCAGAGATAACTGATGGGGTGTTCTGGTCCTCTAGGTGTGGGCAGCCGGTGCAGGGGTGGCCCATAGCCCCCCATCGACGCTGGTGTGGAAGAGCCAGAACAGCTGGGGCTCCGGTGAGAGCTTCCGAACCATCCTGGTCAACTCCGACGGAGAGGTGGGTGTGGGCTGGGAGCCCCCTCAGGCAGCGTGGGGCTGCTGGAGCCAGGTGTGCGGTGGCGGGGCCTGGCTGGGCGCTAGCTCTGATGGCGCTCCTGGCCTGGCTGGGCTCGTGTTTCCAGGAGGTAGCTGTGCGAGCTGTGAAGCAGTCCTCCCCCGTGGCCAGGGAGAATGAGAACGGCGAGGAGGAGGTGGAAGCGGAGTTTGGAGAGGAGGACCTGTTCCACCAGCAGGTAGGGGAGGGGCCGCACTGAACCCCACGTAGACATACACATGTTGTTCTTGGGGCCCCAGCAGAACACCTGAGGAGCCCCCTGACTTCTCAACTGGGAGCTTTTGTGAGCCCTGGGTTCTGTGACAGAAGGGCTGGCCTGGGGGTTCCCAAGAGGTGGGCCTTGCCAGAGCAGAGTGTCCCCCCCCCCCCAGACACTCCCTATGCTTCTGCAGGCTGAGGTGCTGGCCAGTCAGAATGGCTCTGGGGACAGAGATAGTCCAGTTCACACAGATAGGGTAATGGAATATGGAAAGCTCTAGAAACGGTGTGTCACCTGGGCAGGGGTGTCGCCTCCCTGTGTGGACTCACTGCCCCCGCTGACAGGCACCCTCCATTCCTCACAGGGGGACCCGAGGACCACATCCAGGGGCTGCTACGTCATGTGAGCTGCTCGCCAGCCCTCGGCCTTCCCAGAGCTACTGAAGAGTATTTTTTTATGGTTGGCTTCCCTTAGTCCTTGGTACATTTCTAGACAATTTCTAAGCAAACTGCCAGAAGGTGGCGCTGGCTCTGCTGTGCTTCCTGTATCCCTCGATCCCTACATCCCCACTGTCCACTGTCCAGGAGACTTGTCCCTCCCATCCACCAAGGCACGGCCAGTGGGGTGCTGCAGCAGCCCCCCCTCCTGGGCCTCACTGCCTGTGTGTGGAGGGCGGGCGTCAGCTAGGAGCAGCAGGTGGGGCCCCTTGGGTCTTGAGGTGGATAGTGGGAAACTAGTTGGGATTTGGTAGATGTGGGTATTATTTTTTAAATCTTAAAAACAAAACTCAGAATCCAGGTTCTAGCCAGGCAGGGGGTGGGGTGGGGTGGGGTACCAGTTTGTTACTATTCGGTGGCCCTACATCTGACACTGGGGTACCATCCTTGCACCCAGAATTGGGTGGCGAATAGGAGCAGCCAGCCCTGGGTCCTGACTGCCCTGGACCTGAAAGTTGTGACATTCCTGCCAGTGGTGGCATGGGCAGGAGACCGGAGGGTGGCTTCTAGATCTAAACCTGAGGAGGAAGAAGGCGAAAGGAGGAAGCCTGGGGAGTGGGTGCCCCCTTTGTAAGCCATCGCCAGTGCGCAAAAAAGGGAAAAGGTCAAAGTGGTTTGCTGAGCTCAGGAGCCAAGGCCAGGAGTTTGAGAGCAGTTGAGCACGCGCTGGGTGGATCCTAACCTGCAGAGCTGGTGCTATAGAGGGCCCCTCACATACACTGAATGTGTCTGCTTTGTGGCTTTATCTGTGACTTGCACTGCAATGACCCTCCTAAGTCACACACGCTGATACCCGCCATCCTTCAAATGGTTCTGGTACCTGGCAACCCTCTCCAATACTGTTTCCCCTCCCACACAGACACAGAAGTTATTTTTTTAATGGATATTTATTTTTTTACATTGGTCAGTACACAGGTTGCCAAGATCCCTGCTCCAGTGGCTCAGGCCACAAGAAGCCAACCATCCTTCCAGGGGTGGCACAGGGAAGTGGGGCTCCTGTGTTGACCAGCTCTGAGCCCCCCCCAATGACATTTCCTTCAGAAAGTGCAGCTAGTCTTACTGAGCCAGAGGTCATGCTGTCCCCAGTCTGTAAACACGCGTACTGTTTACAGAGCAGCTGTCGCCACAGATGGTTGGACCTCCCTGCCCCACTGTGGCTGTTCCTAGGCGCTGCTGTGGCCAGAATCTGTCAATTGGCCAGGCCTGAGCAGGGAACGCACCAGCTACTGCCACCAATCACTAGCCCTAGAGTACACCTGGCCTTCCCTTCCAGAAGGCCTGGATTTCTTCCCTGGCCACACTTCTCTGGGCTGTGGATTACCTTTTCCAGCAAAGGACCATGTATGTATCTTTCCCAGTTAGTTTCTGGTAGAGGCCTGGGCCGGGGAAACAGCCAGCTCACTTTGGCCTCCTGCACCATCACGGCCTGATCTGGTGGCCCTGCAGGCCCCGCCCCCCCTCCCACCTTCGCAGCAGGACCGCATGGACCGACCCGTGGATCTGGCCGGCGCCCTGCCCTCATGCCTTAGCGATGCTCGTCACCGCGTCCTCCCGTGGGTTTGAGGATCGGCGCTGGACTCGGGGTCTGTGCTGTGCGCACGCGCCTGCTGTCCAGCACGGCCCCTCCTTAGGGACTCCTGGGCTGCCAGTGGGAACTCCTTTCCCAGGGCTTGTAGGGTCGGGGCAGCCGCTGCGGGGGGCAGGGCCGGCGGGCGGGCCGGGCGCGGCTGGGCCTGCGCTGGGCCTCGGTGCGCTCAGCTTGGCTCCGCGCCTGCGGGGGTGCGGAGGGGCTCGTTACGTTCGGAGGTTTTACTTTTGAGATGCATGCCAAACGTGTGGTGTTTTTCCTTTCCTCCAATGACTTGTAATATACGTTTTATGACTGGAAACTTTTGTACAACACCAATAAACACTTTTGATTCTGACTGCTGTCTCCGAGTGGATCGCGGCGCCCCGGCAAGCCTAGGCCTCAGAGTGGCGCGCAATCACGTGATCACAGTCCCCCCCCCCGTCACGTGGCGCGCCTGCGCAGGAAGGTGGATGGGAAATGCTTGCCATAGAGCCTTCTGGGAATTGTAGTTTAGATTCTTATTTCCCGGGAATCCTTGCTCCTGGGACTTCGGCGGGGCTGCACGGAGGGCTTGTGGGAGTTGTAGTTCCAACATAGTTTCCCGTGGTGCCACGGGCGGCCTGGCTTCCGGCGGCTGCGGGTCAGCGCGTGCGGCGGCGGCCCAGTGGACTGCGGAGCCATGGAGAGTGGCTTTGGCTCGGACTTCGGGGGCTCCGGCGGCGGTAAGCTGGACCCGGGGCTCATCATGGAGCAGGTGAAGGTGCAGATCGCCGTGGCCAACGCGCAGGAGCTGCTGCAGGTGCGGGGCGCGCCGGGGCCGGGGGGTCCCCGCGGGGGCGGGCGTCCGGGCTGAGTCTCCCTCGTGCCCACAGAGGATGACCGACAAGTGCTTCCGGAAGTGCATCGGGAAGCCGGGGGGCTCCCTGGACAACTCGGAGCAGGTAGGAGGCCGGCGCGGGGCTGCCGTGGGGTCGGGGCCGGACGCGCGTGCACCCCGGCCCGGGCGGCGAGGCGCGGGCGGGCGGGCGCGCAGGCTCTCACCGCTGCGTGGCTCCTCCCGCCCTCAGAAGTGCATCGCCATGTGTATGGACCGCTACATGGACGCCTGGAACACCGTGTCCCGTGCCTACAACTCGAGGCTGCAGCGGGAACGAGCCAACATGTGACCCGGAGCCCCGGCCTCGCCAGGCGGGGGTCGCCCGCGCCTTCGTGCTGCCTGTGGCCTGACGCGGGGGTGGGGAGATGCCTGCGGGGCAGCCGGCACCGCGGCCCCACGGCGAGCGCAGCGGAAACTCTGGCAACCCCTGTGGCTTCCCAAAGCGTGGGAACCCAGCGACACCACCTGCTTGCCTGGGATCCGGCAGCGTGGTGCCCTGATGTGCCCTGTTCATTCAGCCGTATGGCCTGGGCCCAGGAGAGAGCCCTGGTTTGGACTTGTTGAGGTGACCACCTGAGAGTGGGCCAATAAATTAACCGAAGAGCGGCTGAGACACCCTTGTGTATTTTTCCTCCTGAGTGACGGTGGGGAGAGATTACTCTGTGTCCCTGGAACCCTTGCCTGGAGTGGGTCCCAGGCATGTGTGGGGGCTTGTGGACCATGGAACAGGAGGCCTTGGAGATGAGATTCCCATCATTCGACCCAACCCCCCACCCCGGTTTTCATCTCATGGAAGCCGCTACTTATTAGACTGAAAAGGTCAGGAGAGAGCAAAGGCTAGGGAAAGCCTCCTGTCACTTTCTGGGGGTATTATGGATTGGTAGAAAGTACTGAAAGGGTGGTTGAGGAGTGTTGACAGTTGGGGTTACTGGGGATGGATCTTGGGTGGCGCCGGGGGGAGGGGGGAGGTCCTCAGGCTGGGGCAAAGCAAAATGCCAACTGTGGCAGGGCAACTAACGGTTCTTTTGTTTTTTCTTACTTGTTGAGAGGAGGACATGTCGGCAGGAAGGAGTAGCGGCTGCTGGCCAGAGCAGGGTTGTTGTCCAGGGTGGGGCTGTAGGATGGGTCACGCTAGGGACGGCTGCTAGTAATCTCTATGGAGAGTACTGTCTGCATTTTTTCAGACGCTGCTGGTAACAAGGACTCAGAACTTTGGGAAGAAAGATTTTGTGTCAGGGGCCAAATACTATTAACAGCAGCATAAGTGCAGAGCCCCCAAGACAAGCTGACCAGGGAGCCCAGAAATGAGCTGCTGCTTCCCTGAGTGGGAGGCTTGTGTTTTGGGGTCATCTTGCTGTGTCTGCGATGCTGCGGTCCTAAAAGCAGCAGCTTCTCCTACTGGTGCTTCCCCTTGCTGTGGATAGGCTTTGACCTTGGGGAGCTCCAGGGCACCTCAGCTGCCCTGGAATTAATGTGCCTCTGGGAGGAGGTGACCAAGGTAAACATGCTCTGGAGACAGCTGAAAGTGTTTCTGATTCAGTTGGAGAGAAAGGCTGCGCTGGCCTCGGATCCAACCATGGAAGAAGAAGTTGGAGCTATCTATCAGTCAAGGGCCTGGTTGCCTGGAAAGCCGAGATGTGGGAAACATAAACCAGGGTACAGATGGACGCTGGGACCCTGAGTGTGACAAACACCTGTATGTAAGCGTAGACCCTTGGGAAGAAGGCCCTGACCAGTTAAAACAGGGTGTGATCATGCCCTTCTAGTCCTGTCAGTGTGTGTTCCTGTAAGTCCTGGAATTTGGCATGAGGACAAGCTGAGGAAGTGGCTGTTTGGTTCTGTAGGGACAGGGAGCAGTTGAGGTGGAAGGTGTGGTTGGGTGGCTAGCCCTGGTGGTGCCAGGCCTGTGCATGCACAGGGATGCAATGTCAGTGCCATCTGGGGGTTATGGGACTGTTGATTATTTTCTTGGTCAGTCGTGGGCCTAAACTCTGGGCCTGGGCGCTGTCCCTCAGCTCTTCAGCTCAAGGCTAGTGCTCTTACCACTTGAGCCACAACACCACTTCTGGCTTTTTCTGCTTATGTGGTGCTGAGGAATCGAACCTAGGGCCTCATGTATGCAAGGCAAGTCACTCTACCACTGAGCCACCTTCCCAGCCCCGGGGCTGTTGAATTTGAGGGGTCTTTTTTGAGGGTGGAAGGGTCTCACGTGGGACAATCCTGTTTCCAGTGTCCCTCTTTCCCACAGGCAGGGCAGGGCCCTGGTGGTGGTGGCAGCTTGAGATTGGGACCAGCCTGGGTTTGATGGCTGGTAAGATGTAGGGTGCCCCATGAACTTGAGCGGCCGCCTCTCTGTGGTCCCGGCCCTCCAGGAAGAGGATCAAGGACTGGAGGAGAGCTGAGGTAAAGAAATCCTACACAGGGCTGGGAAGGTGGCTCAGTGGTAAAGTGTTTGGTGCATGCATGAGGCCCTGGGTTCGATTCCTCAGCACCACATAAGCAGAAAAAGCCAGAAGTGGCGCTGTGGCTCAAGTGGTAGAGCGCTAGCCTTGAGCTGAAGAGCTGAGGGACAGTGCCCAGGCCCAGAGTTCAGGCCCCATGACTGGCAAAAACAAACAAACAAAAATCCTACACAGTAGACAGTGGGGTCTGGTTTGATTTGGACGGGCCCTTTGGAGACCCCATTGCCTCAGCCGCCCGGAGGGGTGGTGGAAGTGGAGTTGAGGTAGGGTAAAGACAGCAGGGAGGTGCAGAAAGAGGCTGGCGTTAGCTCCTGTGAGGGGAGAGCGGGCAGGGAGCCTGAGGGCAAAGAGGAAATGGGAGGTTTCTTCAGGATCTTAGACTGAGAAGGATTTATGGGGGGAGGAGGTACCCTTGGGGGCTTTTTGATGAGTTGCCAGATTTTGATTGGGCTTGGAACTGAAGGCAGGGGATCTTGGACTATGAAGTTGGCAAGGTCACATTGGGCAATGGTAAGTGCCCTGTTCAGGCCATTTAGAACCACTGTCCAGTTTATATTGCGACACGAGACACTGGGCCAGGGGCTGGGAATGTGGCTTAGTGGTAGAGTGCTCGCCGAGCATGCTTGAAGCCCTGGGTTCGATTCCTCAGCACCATATAAACAGAAAAAGCCAAAAGTGGTGCTGTGGCTCAAGTGGCAGAGTGAGCAAAGCTCAGAGACAGTGTGTGGACCCTGAGTTCAAGCCCAGGACTGGCAAAATAAAGCCACTGAGGCTTCATAGTATCTGAGTCCCAACTTAGGTAAAATTTTAAGGAGGCATCAGGCTGCCTCTTGAAGGTGTAGATCATCAGCCCATTTTGGGAGGGGGGAGAGGGGCGTCTCTGCAGCTGCCCAGCAGCCCAAGCTGTGGGCCCAAGCCTTCAGGTGTCCCTGGCAGGACAGACCACACCCCTGGGGGCGGAGTCGACCACCTGGCTTTGGGGATTGGTTCCGAGGGCTTGGACTCCAGGGAGAGGCCTAAAGAAGGGAACACTCACTAGAACCGAAGGTCAGACTCCGGGACGTGAGACAGGGAGAATGCGTGCCGGGGAGAGGGGAGTCCACGCCAGCCCCTCAACTCTGGGTCTGGGCGTCAGCCAGGGACTCAGCCATTGCTGCCAGGTGGCAAGAGCGGGGAGCCCCCACACGACAGACTGGACAAGGCCCAGAAGGAAGAGAGGGGCTCAAGGTTGTCAGCACGGGTTTTATTCCCGAAGCCTAGAGCCCCGGCCGCCTCCAGGCTGGGGACATTTGTGGAAGTTGGGAGAGTGTTGGGGTGTGGGTGGTTTGGAGGGCTCTGCTATGGGGGGGGGCAGGTGGGGCACTAACCCCAAGTGGGGGGGAGTCCTCGTCTCAAGATGGGAGAGCAGGGTCTCCGCTCCTGTGCTGCGCCAAGCCGGCGCGGGGCGGGCCAGCTCGGGGAGGCAGGCCCAGGCGCCCGCTCCCGCCCGGTCCTCGGTCGGGTCTCACTCCTGGATGTTCTGCGCTATCCAGCCCCTCACGGCGGCCACGCGGGTGTACACCCCCGGGAAGTGGGGCCGCCCGCAGCCGTAGCCCCAGCTGGTGACCCCAGTGAGCACCCACCGGCCCGAGGGCTCCCTGCAGGCCAGGGGTCCCCCGGCGTCACCCTGAGGGGAGAGGAAAGGGCGCTCGGGGGCCAGCCTCCGCCCCGGGCCCCGTGCGAGCGCGCTCCCAGGAAGCGGGATGGGCCGAGGGGGGTGGCGGCGACGGGCGGCTCACCGAGCAGCTGTCCACGCCGCCCTGCGCGAAGCCGGCGCACAGCATGCGGCTGCTGATCTGCACCGGGTAGAAGCGGCGACACGTCTGCTCGCTGAAGAGGCGCACGGCCGCCTTCTGCAGCTGCCGCGCCATGGAGCCTGCGGGAGGGCGGCAGAGGAGTGGGGCGGGGCGGGCAGCGCGGGCCGGGCGCCCCGCCCACTCCTGAGAGCCCCGCCCCCTCCCGGCATGGACGCCCCGCCCACACCGTAGAGTCTTACAGTCCCGTTCGCCCAGCCCGGCAGGAGGCCACGCCCACCTCGGTGAGCCACGCCTGGCCGTCCCGGGGCCACGCCCACTAGTCTGAGCCACGCCCCCCAGCGCTTACCTCCCTCGCGCACGGAGCCCCAGCCAGTAATAACGCAGCGCGCGCCGTCGGGGGGCCGCGGCGCGGGGCCCGGCAGGCAGATGGGGCGCACCAGGCGGCTGCGGCGCACCGGACCGGCCAACTGCAGCAGCGCCACGTCGTAGTCGAGCGTGTAGAGGTTGTAGAATGGGTGCTTGTAGATGCGCTCCACGCGCTCCAGCTGGCCCTCGGCGCCGCTCAGGAACGGCGTGCCCAGGAAAGCTGCCCACTGCTTGGGGTCCCCGTAGCTGCGGGGCGCGCGTGCACCGCGTCGGCCCCGGCCCAGCCACCCAGCACCCGCCGCGCACGTGCGCCCCCGGGAGGAGGGGCTTTTCTGGTGGGTGGGGCAGGGGTGGGGCCAGATTATGAACTGTAATGAAGGGGGCGGGCCTAATTAGGCGTGGCTTGTGATTGGGCGGTGTCAGGGGCGGGGCCGCAGGGGTTCTGAGAGTGGGCGTGGCTCGTGGGCGGGGCCGCGGGCGGGACTCACACGTCGAAGCAGTGTGCAGCGGACAGCAGCCACCTCTCGGCCACCAGCACAGCCCCGCACCGGTGCTCGCGGCGCCGCAGCCACAGGCTCACCTGCCAC